TAGTCAATTATTGGCATTTTTAAACGAACATAGTATACTAGAGGTTCCCTTTCGAAGGGAACTCAACAATACGTCGAATGACGCTATGGGGAACGCCTCAGGCGTGACAGGTGTCTGAAATCAAATATCAACTCACAGTAATCAGGTTGACCGGCGACAGCCCGTGCATCATCAGCTTGAATGATGAGCGCGTCAATCTGGATGTATAAGAAGGGCGCCTTGAAACCGTGACAACATCTTTTCGTCTTCAGGGACTGTTTGTCTGTGTGATAGTATCAACGATTAAACGCGCAAGACGTGGAGAAACACTTTGCGCGAGTGTGCCGACTTGTGTCCAGATATTTGACACCGGAGGTTCACACGATCTGTGCGTGTTCTGCCTGAGAGAAAGAGCATCGCGGGAAGCTCTCGAGGGAGTTTTTTGCGCGAACTGAGAGTTTTTCCTTTCAGAACTCTCTGCTCTCGTCTGACCCACTTCTCGAGGGAAGTGGGCGCGGCATCTGAACCCCGCGGTTCCGGTTCCCGCTCGGGCTGAGCTCAGTGGCGGTTGAGCTCGTGGAGCTTTCAGATGGGAGCTGGCAGATTATCGGGAGAGGGGCGTTAACCTCGCGGATGATCTACCAGCTGACGAGGGTGAGTTACAGATTAATGTTGAAACATCTAAGAAGAGAGCGCTCTCTCTCTTTGGTGAATCTGTAACTAACTGTTCTCTTTGGGCAGGGCAGGAGTTGGCTGTAATATATATATATATATATATATTTATATATAGAAAAGGATGTCAGTTTGGTTGAGACCGAATCATTTCAGCCCTCCTGCCCAGTGTACGCTGAGCTGGTTGACATTATGGGGCGCGCCTCAGACAGATTGCTGTTGCAGTGGAGGCGCGTCTGGGAGGAACCCGCTCATGGTATTTTGGATGGCTGGTTCCTCCCCACCCATAAGCCACCAGCCCGATGAGCCTTCCATTCGTTTCCGATCTCCACGCTGGGATCGAGAGGGTATGGAAGAATCCGTTCTCCTCACGTCTCTATCTGCATCAGCGGGCTAGTTTCGCTGCTGTGGAGGGAGCCGTGGAGAACGGATAAGTGTCGAGGCCGCCAGTGGACGAGACGTTGGCTAACTATCTCGTCTCTGGTTGGTCCTCTTCACTAAGAGCTCTGACCCTGTCATCCAAGCTGCTCAAGACATCTTCATGCTTGAATGACAGAGCGTACACGGCAGCAGGTCAGGCAGGTGCGGTTCTGCACGCCCTTGTGGTCCTCAGGCCTACCAGACCGATCTGTTGCGGGACTCCCGGCCACCAAGCAATCTGCTGTTCTGTCGGTGCTATGGTGGCCACGGAGAGACATCTGTGGGAGCTCCCACATACTGTGGTTGCCAGGTTACAGGCCTCACCAGGCCTTCCTGGTATGAGCCCCACTGATTGTGGTCACCGGGTTACAGGCCTCACCAGGCCTTCCTGGTTATGAGCTCCCACATGCTGTGGTCGCTGGGTTACAGGCTTCACCAGGCCTTCCTGGTTATGAGCTCCCACATACTGTGGTTGCCAGGTTAAAGGCCTCACCAGGCCTTCCTGGTTATGAGCTCCCACACATTGTGGTCGCCAGGTTACAGGCCTCACCAGGCCTTCCTGGTTATGAGCTCCCACATACTGTGGTCGCCAGGTTACAGGCCTCACCAGGCCTTCCTGGTTATGAGCTCCCACATACTGTGGTCGCCAGGTTACAGGCCTCACCAGGCCTTCCTGGTTATGAGCTCCCACATACTGTGGTCACCAGGATACGAGCTCTCACGTACTGTGGTCGCCAGGTTAAAGGCCTCACCAGGCCTTCCTGGTTATGAGCTCCCACACATTGTGGTCGCCAGGTTACAGGCCTCACCAGCCTTCCTGGTTATGAGCTCCCACACATTGTGGTTGCTAGGTTACAGGCCTCAAAGGGGCCTTCCTGGTTATGAGTTCCCACTTTCTGTGGTGGTCAGGTTATAGGCCTCACCAGGCCTTCCTGGTGATGAGCTCCCACACATTGTGGTTGCTAGGTTACAGGCCTCAAAGGGGCCTTCCT